AAATCTTTGTAGCTTTGTAGTCAATTAGATTTTTTTTTAAGAGTAGTATTTCGAGCCAAAACGAGCTGAACACGAACGAACACATCTTAGTTCGTGTTCGGCTCGTTAACTTATCGAACAAAATTAACGAGCCGAACACGAGCTTCTTAACGAGCCGAACACAAGTTGTTCGCAAACAACGAGCCGTTTTGACAGCCCTAACAACAGAAGATGGAGGGATGAGTTTCAACTGAACCTCGATAAATTTAAATAACATACCTATAGAACGTCGAGGTCGTTTGTCTGGCACGACGTAAATCCTCATACACTATTTTTTAGGATTTTCTACGATTTTATATCATACGATTTAAGTCCTAAACTTTTTAGGATTCTGAGGTCATCGTCTAGTACGACATAATTCATCATATTTTCTCAGGTCATTTACATATGAAATATAGATACAAGTCCAGAATATCTAAATAATTTGCAAGAACGAAACATCATATAATTTCTCTTTCAAAGATGTAAATCCAAACCATACGTTAGTTTGAGATGTCATTGAATCTTCTTCACTATCTTCGACATCTCCTACTTTTGCTCATTTGAATTCCGGAAATAACTAATCCTATTTGAACCTATCCCATTTGACTTTTCCTATAAACAATCGTGAAAACTTAAACGTTGAATTCTTGAACCTCTGATCATTATTGAGAGTTTTCTTAGGTGACTTTGGTTATCTAAGATGTAATTAACTATAGGGGCTTGCCTCTATAGGGAATTAAGAACCCAGATTAATCTACCTTGTTTAATCTGTGCATTAGATAGGGAAATTTGCCGGCTATAAAAATTTGTCGGCTATAAAATTTGCAGACCAAAATAAAGTCATAAACTTTTAAGTTTGGATAGTTAAGTCTACTAACAAGTGATACACTTATCTTTTTGAGATGATATGTCACTTGTGGTGTCGTGTTCAGCTATTTAAACTATTAGATATATGAGGTCTATCCGGTTTCATTATTTTCCAAAACAAAAAAATATCATTTTCACAAAATTAAAATTACATTATATATATTACATTAAATTTTAATTTTAAAATCTTTTTTTCAAAAAAAAAAATGGCCGACAATAGCATGGTGGAGCCCCTACAATGAAGGTTTAGGCCAAGAAGTGGTGGTGGTTTTGGGGTTAGTCAAAGGTAGGAGAGCGAGGGTATATGGTGGAGAGTGGTTATTTGAATGGGTAGATAGATAGGTTAAAAGTATTTATGGATTAGAATTGAGATTAATGAAAGTCTAAGGATATAAAATTTGCACGTCTTTGATACCAAATGACACAGATCTAGAGTTTTATAAATGAGGTTTAAGTATCTAAGTTTGGTTTAGGGGTGTTTATAAAGAGGCTCAAATTAGGTAAAATCTAAAAAAAAAAAATTTAGGGGAGTTTGGAGATAGACGGCTACTGTTTGGAGGATAAACAATGAAGATAAAAAAAGAGGTCAGTGACTAGGAAGAGGAGAACGTCAATACGAATCCACCACCAATTCTCAATCAAGATAAACACACAACACTGCAAAAGAAAAAAAAATGAGAAAACAATCTCCAATACATTAAATCAAGCCAAAAGTTTTATAGAAGGTTTTAAGCACAATATTTATACTAAAAAAAATAACCCTAATTATAATTCCTATACAAAGCAATAAGAATGCACTAAGGCTGTCGGCCCACTTAGGGATGGGAAAACCTTGAATCAGTCTGTCCTGAACCGATCAGTACCAATTCCATCACTTTTCAAAAGCAAGTTTGCATCATGCCTTGGGTCATAAAATAATAAAATAAAAAAATTTATGGTCTCACAAAGAGCGCTTCAAATGACCTGAATCTGGCAGCATGGGCTTATTTTGTATTTAAACTAAGGTCAATGATTTTGACAAAAAAGAAAAAGGTGAATATTCTATTATTCTAGTGATCTTATAATATTATTATTTATGACAATTACGCTCTATTTATACATTAGTTTAATGTAAATAATTCAATTTTGTTTGCAAAAATATTTAATTATTTATTTAGAAAAGACTCAAATTAGTGAAACACATATCAAAAATTGAACTAGAAGAAAAAGATGCTTAAAATTCAATGGTTCAACAGAGATTAAATCGAAACTGAATTAGAAAATATAACAAAAATTAAAATTATTTTGCTATATTTAAATGATGCTATATTATAAATATGTGAAAAAAAATAATTGAAACTAAAACACTAATAATATATCCAATAATTGCAAATTTAAAGTTAAATAAAAGACAATCTAAGATATAATTATATGTATTGTATAAATTTAGATAAACACATATTAAATATATTTAAAATTAATTTATATATATATATATATATATATATAATCAAGATTGATAAATGTAAATATAATTTATAATAATAATATAATTTCTAATAATTAATGAAAATATTAACTTTATATTAAAAAGTAAATATGATTACTATATTCCTGCATCTCGCAGTTCCTTTAAAATTCTCAAAACCCAAATTCCAAGACCAATTTCTCATATCACAACCCAAATTATATTTCAATATACTAATAGCTTTTTAGTACCACATCATAAGTGAGAATTAGCATTAAACTTTCTATATAGAAAAATAAGGGCATTGCAACATGAGCTTGTAACTCATATGGCCAAGGGGGCATGTTATAGATTAATTTTAATGGGGTTGAAGTTTTGAAATCCATAGTTATAAATTTAATTTAATATAATTTATAATTATAATATCATAGGAAAATTTTTAAACATTGTATTGAGAATTAAAGGTAACTAAAAAGATTATATTTGGTTCATCCGTGACAGTATAACCAGGATCAGTTAGCCAATTTGTGATTTGAATCGTCGATTCAAATGATTTTCATCAATTTGATGCCAGTTGTACGCCTAGGTAACTAAAAACAAATTGAATTGTCTGACTCAATCAGCTTTTTAAAACCATGTAAACAATAAAATACAATCTTGCGTAGAAGTTTCTTATATCCAAAGAGAATAATATTGATCAACTGGTGTTTTGGAAAAAGCAATAAATAGACAAATAAATCCTTTGCATAAGTTCTTTTCTCAAGTGCTTAAGGATTGTTTCACCGCGCAATCCAAATAAATCACTCAAAACAGAAGTTCAAATCAAGGAAATGAACCTTTAAAGATATTTGCATATAGCTAATTTATCTAAACTAGCTCTTTTAAGTAAACTATTCAGATCTTAAAAAACGTGCTTAAAAGCCCTTGGTAAAAATAAATACTATAACTGTATCCTTTTTCATGCAAGATAAATATTTCAAATTAAAGCAATATCGACTACTAAAGATATGGATGCATTATAATAAATTAATCAGGTTCCATAAATACCATCGCCATACCTGTGTAGTTTAGCTTTGGGAAATCAATTTAATAGCTTCAAGCAACTTTTTGATATCCAATGGCTTTGTCAGATGAAAATCCATTCCACAGAGAAGTGTTTTCTTTGCTTCATCAGGTGAAGCATGAGCACTTAGAGCAATGATAGGGATGTGGATACCATATTTCTCTTCTTCTGTGCGTATACATTTTGTTGCCTCGTATCCATCCATGACAGGCATCTGTAGAACGCAATTGAGATACAAAATGGTTATACAATATTGTGCTGTCCAAAAAAAAAGGCATAAAGAAGACATCACGCTAGCTTATTTATAGGGGCATTTACATACATACTACCCAATTCCTATGTATTTACATATCTAACACCTAAACTTTGCTTTCTACCTTACAATCTCTCATATCACATAAAAAATATAACCACTTTACCTTAAAAAATGTGAAATACACATTTTCATGCATAGGTAGAATGGTAAGTATGTAAAAATTAGAGTTTAGGTGTTAGATATGTAAGTCTTTAAGAATTGAGTGGTATGTATGTAAATCTTCCATATTTATGCTAAGTGTCATACGCATACAGAATGTTCAATAAAGGACAAATTCTAATGAGGATGTTAACAGCTCAGATACAGAAGCTAACAGACACCCAAAAACATAAGAAAATTAAAAAAAAAAAAAAAGCCAAACGAAGCACAAGTGAATAATGAAAATTCAAGAAATAAAATATGTATTCAATAAATTCAAAAAGTAAACGGATAAAATAAAATTTATACTAGTACTTAATTCAAATGGCTGAACAAACATCTTCACCGATGAAAATTTATTTAGGAAATCATTCATGTTTTCGCATTGCATTAAAATTAACCTACACCAGTTAAAGCACTAAAAAATGGCAACTTGACAAACATGATATTTCATGTACAAATAATTTTCTATGTTAATTTACAAGGCTTTCGGAATCCTTCTAATTAAATAAGCTCTGTTTTTTATATATCTTAGTTGTATATGACTCTACCAAGATTTTCACCTTGTTATGTTAAAATGCAATCATAGAAGTTTCATTTAACAATTCCAAATATGAATTTAAGTATCAAAATACAAGAATAGTTCTTTCTAATGCATTGCTTCAAATAGGCATTTGGATTACAATAACATATTTGAAATAAAATTATGAACTGATAAATTTCTTCATTGATTCATTGCACATCCAAACAATATATGGACGCATGAAAAAACATATAAAAATGAACATGAAAAGAGAGAAAATGATTGTCTGTCATAATCACATAGGTTAATGTCACAAATAGCTCCCTATAATCAAATGTTCTAACGATGCCAAAACAACAATTAATATTAACAGAGATTTGCATTAGTATTTACAACACATCACACAGCTTTCAATCTTTTTTTTTTCTTTTTTGCACAATGCATAATTTTTCTTTCTATAGAAATAACAAAAAAAGTGGTGCATAATGCAATTCAGTTATATAATAACAATTCAAGTGTATATGCTTCGAAGGATAATTGTTCAATACCTCACAATCCATCAAAATAAAATCAAATGGCAAATGACTTGAGCTTCCTTCAGAAATATGGCTTATTTCTTGTAAATCTATTTTTACCACATTCACCGCTTCAAATCCATTGTTAACGGATTTGACAGCTGCACCAGAACGCGAAAGCATTTCAGATGCAATTTGACGTAAAAAAGGTGTATCTTCCACTAGTAATATCTTCATGCCACGTAAAGATTTTTTCTCATTTTCGTCCTTAAACATCGCAAAATTATCATGTTTAGGGTGTGCAGAATTCAACAAATTTCTTTTCTCCACCTCATTTGTTTTGTTGGACTCTTGTGCAATCTCTGGTTTCAGTTCTTCATTTGTTTGTCTGAATTCTTGCATAAGTTCCAAAATCTTACAAAAACGTGAACCGTGTAAGGGTTTATGTAGCATAAGATCACACGGAATTTGTGAACGAGATGCAGTCGAATCAGTCAAACAAATAACTTTATACTGACGAAAGTAATGGGGACTTTTTGGGAGACAGGCTAAGAAGTTATGCATTTCAGAGAAATTTCCAAAACCCAAATCAAGAATAACCACCAAATACTTCAGTGAACCTTTTAAGCTTGTTTTCTTTGATAGATCTTTTAGGCTAAGTGGCAAAACATGATTATTCTCATCTTTGGAACTAGAAAACTCACTATCTTCACCGCTAGAAGGTAAGCCCGAATCATCACTGTCATGGACGTTGTAATTATGGATCATCTTCAACAATATGGCATACATTTTTTCAGGTTGCTGAGCTACGCTTACCATGACACCGAGGTTTCTCATCCAATCTTTCAAAATCCGTCTTGTTTCGGCGCTACGAATTACAAGTAGGCATTGTATTCCATCGACAATACGTTGCGTATTTGCCACGGCATGAGTATCTAATTGCACCCTTGATCTTGTTTTGGAGGAAAGTGAATGCAACCTATTCAATATTGGAATGTTGCATGAATTCAAACCTTCTTCGGTATTATTAGAAGAAACATCAATAGACTTCATGAAAATATTAAACATAAAACAACTTCCACTTTCACCCTGTTGCTTTTCTCGAATGCCAATATCCCCACCCATCAATCGAACCTATGAAAAATCAAACAAAATAAGCAAATCATTAAAATGAATTGGAGAGCATTAGACAATAGAAAGTATATTATTTGCAAATAAAATTGATAATGAAACTGAATCTGAGATGGAAAATTACATAGGATTGGACAATTCCAAGACCCAGGCCAGTGCCTTCGTATCCTACGTTTGAGTCTTTTACTTGAACATAGTTTTCAAAAATAGAAGCTCTTTTGTCTTTTGGGATCCCAATGCCACTATCATCTACTTCAAAAATAAACTCCATGTCACCTTCGCCGTGATAAATAGAATCAGGCGGTTTTTTATCTGAATAAACACTTCCAATATTACAGCAACATCTTGACAAAAAGGATGGTATGGTAGAAAAATGGCTCTCTTGGATTGAAGTGAGCTCGGTATTTTTTGGACTGGCCTTCCTAGCCCAAGCACGCACAATAACATGACCCTCAGATGTAAACTTTACGGCATTGCTAAGAAGGTTATCCAAAACTTGTTTGAATCGTCGGCAATCACCTCTGACATTTGAAGACATCAAAACTGAGAAATCACAAGGATCCCATATTACCTCAAGACCTTTGGCAAGTCCAACGACATAGAAAATATCAACAGATTCTTCAATAGCCTGAGCAATATTAAATTCCACTTCTTCAAGTTGCATTTTTCCTGCTTCCACTTTGCTTATATCAAGAACAGAATTCAAAATACCTGAAACTTGTAAAGAACATCAAATAATCTATATATAAAAAAAAGATGATCACAGAACATTCAATGAAACCAAAAAGCCATTGAAATAGCAAAATCTTACTTTTTTTTTTCATTTACATGAAGTTAAAAGATCATGACGAAGAGCAAAGTCTAGAAAGCAAATTCAACAAATTAAATAATGAAATATTATAAGAGCTCACCCAATAGTTTTGATGCACAACAATCCATTTGTGCTAAGTTTCTAGCCACATCAGAATCAAGGAACTTCATCGAAGCAAATTTTAATTAATCCCGTAATGCCAGCCAGAGAAGCCCTCACATCATGACTAGCACTTGCAAAAGCTATACTTTTGTTCATACTTTTTCTTTCAGCTTGTTGAGTCGCCTCCTTCTGCTTAATAAGATTAGCAAGTGCGTATGTCTTTTGTCTTTGTAATCTCATAAAAAGCTTCGAAGATATACAACTGCCGATAATTGCAATTAGAATAAAAAAAGACAATAATAAGGCCATCGTAACTTTCACTTTTTGCAAAGAAAGCATAAAATCCTTCGCAGGAAATGCAATTATTATAACCTGTAAGATGAAACAGTCGTACTCAATAACCATAAGTTATAGAAAATATGCATAAAAAAGGAAAATTGCATGCATAGCTAGCACACAATGCTATGTTTTTACATATTTCACACAAACTTACATATTTACATACACAGCCTTTTGTTGCTTCAAACCTAAGCATGAAAAGGTGTATTTCACGTTTTAAAAGTGGCAGTAGTGCAATTTTTTGTGTGATATTAATGATTTGAGTGTTATGCATTTAAAAAATTGAAGTTTAGGTGTGAGATATGTAAGTACATAAGAATTGTTTACTGTGTATGTAAATGCCCCAAAAAAAAGCAAGAACCTTTTGAAAGAAAAAAGGACAAAGATTTTGCACTGCCAAATATCATGTTTAATATTTAATAACATACCATTATGATTTCAGAAAGATGGATGGAAGCACACCTAAGCATAACTTTTTTGCTCTTTTTCATCAACTGTTTTGTGATTGATGAACGAGAAAACAATTGTGCATTAATAATTCCATTACAAGAATCACCAATCATTTCATTCCTGGGCAAGCCGACACTCACATTTATCACCTTTAGGGTTTTTGCATTATTACCGTCAAAAAAATACAAACTATCTCTTGTCAATACAAAAGCATGCGCATCATGTAGCTTTGTGGAAAATAAATAATGAATAAAATCTTTTACTTTAATGCCAACAGAAATCACAGTAAATTTATCCACTGGAGCAGTAAAGAAAAACATATTATCTCTATCATGTCCCCATCCATGTCCATACGATGGACTTCGGCTCACACCCTTCAAAGCATCAGAAAACCATAATGAGTCATTCGGACGAATAGGTGGAACTAAACGTACAGCACCATATCGTTCTCCTGTGTGATTATCAACCTTTTGAGTGTACCATCTATGCTCTGTAGAATTGTCCAAATTAGAGAATACAACCCGAGTTTGGTTTCTTTCAAATAAATAAGAGAAGATAATTTCATTGAACCTAACAAAAGAAATTTGTGATGCCATTTGAGTTATTCTCAATGCCATGAACAAAGATGAGGCAACCTGAAAGTTGAAAAAAGCTTCATTAGTTTATCTTTCAAAGCAGCAATACCTGTTTAAGATAAATGCATTAGCTGAAAGTTTACATTTTTGTCAATAGTAGTAGATGAAAGTGAAGTCTTATCAAGAACGGAGCCAATAACTCTGGCAACCTTGTGAATTGAGAGATTTACTTGAAAAAAGTGAACAGCTCGCTCTTTAAGATGGTCTGTTAACATTAGCTGAGTAATGCTAAAATCACGCTCTGAGAGAACTTCGGTATGTTGAGTTATGAGAACCGATGTAGAAATAATGACAATACCAATAACTATTATAACCTGAAAAGATAATTGAGTATAAGAAAAAAACATTCAAGCAAAAATTATTATTTTGGGATTTGTATATATATGATAAATAACTTTTCAATATATAAATAGCTTTGTAAGGAGACAAAAATTATATATTTATGGGGAGGAATGATTACCGCAGGTAAGCTTATATACATGTGAGAAGCAAAATCAAAGCGCGCCATGATCTTCTCTCCACTGCATTGCAAAGAGAGAGTTCGCTCAAAGGATCCAAATGTGTGTTGTACAAACATATATAACAAACAAGGTTTAAGATATGAAAAAAAATCAATACCATCAACGAACTTTACATGATTTTATTAATAATGAATAAATAAAAATATGCCTACCAAGCATATTGGTGTGATAAATTATAATATAAATGTTTTACCTTGCGCCGCAGCCATGAGAGTGAAAAAAAGGCCAAAAAAAGAATGGTTGAAAAGCAATAGGCAAAAATTAGTAGAAATAAACGTTGATAATGTTCCATAAAACCTGCCTATCATGCATTAGCAAATTGATGCAAATTGTGCACCAATAACTAGCAATAATAAACTAACAAAAGAAAAATGCAACAAACATACGCAATTCAATTTTAATTATAATATTGTTACCTTAATTTCAGAGACAAGAGATAACTACAACATTAGATAGACATGACTCTTTCAAGAGGCAACTTAATAGAAAGTTTCAGCAAATCTATGTATAGAGTTAATGCTAAAATAAAAAGTTGGAGCATCAATTAACTGATATTTAATATTTTCTAAAAACAAAATTATCTTGATTCATGCCAACAATTTCGAGACTAAAGTATTAAAATGGCAAAGTACATGAGCATAAACAACATGAGCAAAATCAATAGAAAAAATAAATTCATTGTAGTAAGTAATTTTTATTTTAATAAAAATATACAATAATGCATTCTTAGTAGAGTTGGATACTCAACAGAGAACAAGATGAAAAATAGAAGAGAAATAGTCAACAAACACCTGCTAAAAAAACACTATAAAGCAAATCCGCTTATATAACCTTCCTAAAAAAACTTGATTGCGTACCACAGCACAAAACTGCATTTTACCTAAAAAAATGTTGAAAACCATGAATAACGACTCAACTCACAATGGTAATTAGCTCATAGAAAGAATATCCACATAATCACTTCCCCCACAAGTAGGAAGTGAAAAAAAAAACTCATTTTTGTTCACCATGATAATTAGCTCTAATTTAGATTGTTTTTACAAGCTTATTTATTTAACAAGCAAAACACAAACATGATTTTACTTCCATCAAATAATTGATGAGATAGATCAACAAATAACAAGCCTTTATCCCATTAAGTGGGGTCGGCTGCATGAATCTTTTTTTCTCCATGGTATACAATTAAGTGTCATATTTTCATTTAATTCTAAGAAATTAAGAATATTTTTATAAAACATGCCCAAGTCTTTCCAAATTTACCTCTACTCTTCTTAGCATGAGCCAAATCTAAAGCATCTACTCTAACTAGGTCATCAGATATTCGACATTTAGTGTGACCAAACCCTCTAAGGTGACCTCTCTAATCTTGTCTGCCACTAGAGCTACTATAACCCTTTCACGAACAAATATGCTTAACATTTCGCCTCTAAGTGTAAAGTCACACATCATCCAAGCATTCTCGTCTTAGAAACACTAAATTTTATGCTTCTCTTTTACAGGTGCAAATTTTTATTTTTGTGTAAACAAAGATGAAAATAAATACTAACAATTACATTAAAAAAAAAGGTTTCAAAAAGATTATAGTTCATCACAATCACTTCCATCTGATGTAATTAAGCTATGAAAATCTTCAACATGGGTTGTCAACCACCCCAGAGAACCTATCAACAACTGCGTTGTCAAGTCCAATGAGGAAATAACATTATCTAAAAATTGTGTTAGCAAGGATATACATATGTAAGTATATGCTTACATGTGTATGTATGTGTACAAATGAATGATTTGTGCATTTATTATTTCTATATTAATAAGAGATCTAATGTTAGCAAACATCATAAATCATACATAAGAAAAGTGAAAAATACTACCTCTATAGCTTTTTTGCGCTGTGGTTGATGATCTCTTTCAAGTACTCCTCAACCATCTCCTATCATAAGAAATAATCAATCAAGGAACAAAAAATATTGAGGTTTAAATATAATGGTGAAATAACTAATTTTAATAATAAAACAAACAATATTTCAACTTAGACAAAAAAATAACTCGAAAAAAGTGCAAAAAGACCAATTAATAATTTAACCAATATTTTAAAAGTAAGACTCGACATTGAAGTAAACGAAAGAAAGATTCAAGTTTAGAAGGCTTAGCCAGAATTCATCAAGGGTTGAATAGTAATGACGCAACTTCTTTTATTGAATGATCATTATCCACATTGTCTTTTTTCATTGGAGTTCCACGTAATAAATTGAAGCATTAATGCATATAAGAAAAACACCAAGTCAACAAGCAAATCATAATCAATTTCTTTCAAATTTGAACTCAAACTAATAGGCGAGAGTTAGGCAAGAAGGTCATAGAAGTTAAACTTATTGAATATTACACATATTTGGAATATTCTTTAATCGTAAAAAATCAATAAACTTTCTATTTTTAAGAAAATTGATATATATAAGTAATTTCAAGATTCAGTGAGTCAAATTCAAGTTGGCAAATCAGCATAAATCTAAATTTAAAAAATTAAAAGTTTTGGGGTTTTTTACCCTAAATAGACCCAAAAATTAATCGAGACAACCCGAACCAAATTTTTTCAAATTGGGTTCAAGTTAAATTGATGTATCGGGTCAATTTTTACACCGCTAGTTGAAGTGAAATGGTTAGATAGAGGATGGAATTTTGGACGCCTTCAGTAGCATGCACCTATCACAACTTACAAATTTTTTTTTATAAATATTTTGTAATTGATGTATCGGGTCAATTTTTACACCGCTAGTTAAAGTGAAATGGTTAGATAGAGGATGAAATTTTGGACGCCTTCAGTAGGACATCATTGGGAAGAATATGCAAGTTTCAACCTTTATTGTATAATTGTAATTTTTTAGTTAATTTTAAGAATTAGCAATAACTAATAAAAAAAATTTAAGTAAATTATTACAATTTGTGATTTTATTTATTAAAAAAAGTTTATATTAATTAAATTTATAGATTATTATACAATTCTTAAATAAGATTTTTTCTTAGTTAAATTTGAGTAGGAAAGAAGGTGATATAGTAAGAGTTAAATTATAATTAACAAAAAATAATCAAAATATTATTTATAAATAATTAAAATTAGTATTTATGATAAAATTTAATTTAATAAAATTATTACATGTCAACAATTTAATAAATTATTAATTAACAGTTAATTAAAATTATTTTATCAAATAGTGTGATTTACTAGAATTTCCAGATGGACATCAATGGTTAATAAAATTAAAAATGATAATAGACTACATATTAATTAAAATTAAAATTAATCTTAATAATACATGTAAATTAATTAATATATTGATTAAAAAATGTATTATTTGTGATTTCATGATTACGTAAAAGTTACTATTTTAAGTTAAATAATAATTTACTGATTAAAAAATAATTATAATGTTTTTATAGAAGTTTAATTATCAATAATTAATATTAAAATTATATTTAAACGAAAAACTTTATCCTAAAAAATAGTCAAAAAATTCATCCAAATTAACTCAGATTTATTATTTGTCGGGCCAAATGATTTTTCAAATTTAACTGCTTCAAAAATTATCAAATTTAGCTTTATATATGTAATCAATTTTAGTTGAATGAAATCCTACATCTCATTTGACTTAAGGGGGTGCTTGATAGCCGGACTTAAACAAAATCCCGCCAAACAACAAAATTTACAACTTTAAATCTAATAGAATCTTGAATCTTATTTTTTCTTTGTTTTACCTTAAATCTCAAATTTAATAAATTTTGGCAATGGATAAATTTACTTGAATTCACAAGTCATTCAAAACTCTCTTCTTCTTCGCATGTCATTGGCTCCATAAATTCCATCTCTAATGATAGGCAGAGGGATATTTTTTTTTAATGGGCGCACAAACCAGCGATCTTAAAAATATCCTCAATCCTTTTCATCTGAATTTGAGGCCAGCATTGACAGTTCTAAAAATTCTATGCATATAATTCTATTATTAGCTTCCAAAAATAATCAACTATTAGATTACTACAATTAAAACGGTTCTGATTATATTAAATTCCATCAATACTAGGTAATAGTCTCGCTAGAACATCATTATCAAATATGTGCACAGGCATGAAAGAACATTTAGTCAAAACTTGTAAATGAAGATCAATTGAAGTTCTATAAATTTTAACTAATCAAAATTCGGAGACTAAACTTTCATCACATCTGCTCTATAAATAAGTTTATCATAATATAAAAAGAAAAAGAAAACTATTCAAAACACCCATGCATCTAATATGCAGCTTTCATGCAAATAAATCATTACTCCAACCTTCCTGTGTCATTCAATTGAACACTTAACCAGTAATGTTTCTGAGGAATTGTTTGGGAGCATGATTTAACAAAAATCTTGCCCAACACTATAAATGACATCATTAAATCCTACAGTTTCTTAAATCTCGAGTTTCTTCCAACTTGCCCAAAATCCATGAAATCCCGCTGGAAGACGGATTTACGGAATTTAGAGAAGCTGAAGAGCGCGAAGGCGGTGAGAGGAAGGGGGAGAGAGAGCAAGGTTACCTTCCTTAATGGTTTCGGGTAGGAGCGAGCGGAGCGGAAGGAGGAGAGACATGGGAATTTCGGAGGACTTTGGACGCCGCCACCCCTTCCCAGCTAGTTGTGATCGCGAGGGTTCCGATCACGAAGACGATGGTTTTGGGCGGGAGAAGTAGGCAAGTTTTTTATTAATTTCACTGATTAATAATTAGTAAGTAATAAAAAACTTGGCAATTTAAGTATAACTAAATAAATGTATACATAATTATTTAATTAATAAGTAATAATAAATATATTATACATTAAAAATAAACTCTAATTAATTTTTTTTAAATTTAATAAATGACTAATATATCTTAAGTTACTACCCAATTAAATAATTAATTTAAAAAAATTTATGGTGAAAATTTACATGTATATTATACCATATAATTATTATTAATTTTTATATCTCCTAACTTTAATATTACATGGATACTCTTAAATTAGTACAAATTTATTGCATCCCCCCGCATTAAAACCTATTATTGGGATGAAAGTTCGTAGATTTGAGTTATTGTTGCATTCTTCTACTTCTCTGCCCACTAACATATTCTCCAGTGAGCTCATGTAAAATTGAATTTTTAGTTAGAGCTTGCAAGGCAGCTCGCAAGCCAGTTCCTGCCACTACAAGCCGAGCTCAAACTCAGCTCAGGTTCTAGCTCACAATTTTACAAACGATCCAACTCGTTTACACCCATAAAGGCAGTTGTTACGGTGGTGGATCGAAGGAGGTCTGAGGCAGAAGGAGGATAATGATGAAGTCTCGAATGACTTTGTATGCTATGATCCCATGATTGTGATTGATGCAGTCAATCGAAGGAGCAGGGTGGAAAGATGAGAGTTTCAGAGGTTCCGTTTCTGTACGTCATAATCTCGTTGCTTCGAAGAGCAAATTTTAGCATTGAGACGTAGATGATATATTGGGAAGATGTTAGTGTCATGCATGTAATATTAAGCTTTTGGATGCTATATACCATCAATTAAAAAGAAGCGATGGGTATCTATGTAAATTTCAAGGGCAATAATGTCACAAAACACACACTACCATGAAGAATTTACATGTTTGCAAAACTCGTTTAAAATCCAGCATGATCCACGCAACATTTTATTTGAACATATTTGATCATTACGTTAAAACCAGACTGAGTTAAATCTTAAGTTGCAGAAACCAACTTAAATCTCACATAAACTAGAATCCCTTTTCAATCTGATCTTCACGTTCATTGGAATTCAGTAATAGAATCCCTTAACAGGCAGATTTAAGAGATCAGAAACAATAAAGAAGCACCTGCTGATTCCTTGTTACGACTTCTACTTAATCGGCGAGTTCCGATTAGAGCTTTGCTCTTTCTTCGATCGTTTCGGGAAAGTACAATTCACTTTGGGGTGTTTACATTTATACCATACATTTTTTATGTATTTACATATCTAACACCGAAGGAATTGATCGTAAAAGTGTGGTGGATAAAATAATCTTAAAAAGTTAAGAAAAAATAAGTATTTATCCCAAAAAAAAAATTAAAAAATAACTCCTCAAATAGAATTTTAGTGACAACATAAAACTCAAAATAAAACACACGAATAAATCCTAAATCTTCCTTTCACTTTTTAAATTTTTAATGTGATTTGAAAATTAATGATATAAATGTAATAAGTAAATTATATATATATACGATATATAAATATATTAAAATGGAGTGGTAAAGTAAATAAAAAATAAAAAATGGGGCCCACATGCTTAAGGTTTTGTAAATAAAGGATGCAATTAATAATAAATGTTGAGAGCGGAAAAAGGTAATCTTTTTTTATGGGTTATAAAATTTCATTTTAAGTTTCCTTCTATTTGAAAATTACAAATATGGCATTCAATTTTGAATGATTGGAATAGATTTTAAAAAGGTAATAATTAAATAAATTTTTAGATGTTTTATTTTTGGGCATTTACATACATAGCACGTGTTATAAATTTTTATTTTTTTAGAAAAGTCAGATCGTTGCCGGAAAATTGTCACCGCATCTATCTAGGTGCGGTGTGAAAAAATTGTTTTCAGTGTTTTAAAAACTCATAAACTGTCAAAACACAGTTTATACATACATAGCACGTGTTATAAATTTTTATTTTTTTTAGAAAAGTTATATCGTTGTCAGAAAACTACCACCGCATATATGTAGTTGCGGTGTGAAAAAGTTGTTTTCAGTGTTTTGAAAACTCATAAACTGTCAAAACACAGTTTATCCAAACAGGGCAGACGTGTTTTCAAAACGTCACTGTACCAAATAAGCTGCCCCAAACGGGCCCTTAAATTGAAGATGAATGCGGTCTAAATATGTAAAAATTAAAATTTGATGACAAATTATTTATATTGTCATGGTTATTATGGAGTAAATGTTATTGTAATTTCCTTTTAATAACATCTATGACTGATTTATCTATTTGCTATATTATAGAATGTCTGAGAATCAAGATTTACGCATATGGCGCATAATTCCTGTATATTTTATCTTTATAATTTTATATTTGCACGCAAAACTCTTAAATTTATAAATAACTTAAAAATATTATTAAAAAAACGAATATTAAATATGATTTGTGAATTTAATAGGTTTGAAAAATAAAACAAAATATTTCATAAATGTTTTTTTTTTCTATTGCTTTTTATGTTTTGAAGTGGATTGAAATTTATTGCATCTTATTTGTTTTGTTTTGAAACTTTTAGTATTGCATTCAAATCTGCATATGGGACAAAATGTTGAGATAGAGAGATAAAGATGGAGAGAGCGAGAGAAATAGAGAGAAATAGAAGAGGAAAAGAAGAGGACTTGCCATGTCGGGGACAAATGGGGTACTCCTAGACTCTTGGTCCTACCTTATTCCACAAAAAATAAAGGTTACAGTGAAGGAGAACCAAAAACCCTCTAATACATGTCATAGCTCTCATATTTATAGCAGATAAAATGAATAAAATTTATAAACCATACTATTAATCTTGCTTTAAAAAGAGAAATGAATAGCATTCGAGTCCCCTTATTATGACCTCGGGATTGTCTCGAGGTCTGTGCATACCATTTTAAATATGCATATTAAGTTAATTTTCATTTGGAATTATCTTACAGATTTAGTTATAAAATCTTTGCAAACCCAAAGTGTAGCATGTATGTCTGTTCGTGTGTGTGCGTGCCACTAGTCGTTACTTTTCGGTTGACGGCTGAGTTGTCAATCGTGAGTCCCCTGGGGTCACATGTTCGAGCTCGCTTTAACGCATCCGCCTTGCAACATAGGATCAAATAGTTCGACACATTGAGAGTGACCGGGGGCTCATATCATAGCCTTCGACCATCATTTTCAATATATATATATATATCTGTGTGTGTGCTTGCGTGCGCTCGCGCATACATACATTTATATATTTATGAATATTTAAAGATTCAGTTTTATTTATGTAAAATTTTCCTGTTTTTTTAGGTGGAACGGTCTACTGGAGGTTTTACATGCCAAAATCGATTGGTATGTATGTAAATCTTCCTGTTTTGACCGGAGCAGACGTGGCAGGACAGCGATAGGGTGGGCCGGCAAATAAAATACCAAAATTATGCAGTTAGATATATGAAGGGAGGAAAGAGTAGGGTATAAATACCCCTTTAAAAGATACTTAAGTTTCTTAAGCAAGCATTAAAAGGCTGCGATAAATAAAAGGATTTAGAGTAAGATTCAACCTGTATTCAACCTAACCTGAGTACGACGCTTATTTTAGGTAAAATGAAGCCGCGGGTTTGTAAATTTGGAAAGGTGGCTCCATGCAAAAAGGAAGATGTATGAAAATACCTTCCTCCATGGTTTCGAGTAAGAGAGGAGTGGCCGACTGGAAGCAGGAGGAAGGCCGGGAGATTTCGCCAATGGCCCTTGATGAACTACTCACCGAGGATGGAATCGAGAGCGGGTGAAGTAAGTTGAAGTCATTGTTGCAAGTTGTTGCAGTATATATAATATAGAAATAAAATAGAAGAACGATCTCTGAAGAAAGCGAAAAATAATACGAGAAAATTGACACCATAAAACAATAACACACAGCGGAACATACAAATTTACGTGGTTTGACAAATTGTCTGCGTCCACGAAATTGCAGAGGATTTTACTACTTGAGAAATTTACATCAGTCGATCGTCTCGACTTACAAGAGTAATCTATCACTTCATTGCGCTCTCTTCTTCTCTCTCTGTTATTCTCTCTCTACACCGAGATACAACGAAGAAATTCTACACCGAGATACACCGAAGAAGATAAACTTACACGAGAAATAAACTCAATTTCTCTTCTGCCACAAGTCGCCAAGAAGAAGTCAAGGGAAAACAATCTTCTTCTTCTTTCTTCTTCCTTCTGTCAAGCACGCAATATTGTCGAGGAAACACTACTGCCGAGGATACCACATGGAAGGTTACCAAATGTTTACACTTCTCTTCCTCTATCCCGAGGAAGCAATACTGCCGAAGAAGAACTCAAATGGATTGTTCTAAAAAACTCAAGGAGAGCCGCTCCTTTTATCACGAAACTGCAAGGAGCGAAGGGATGCTTCGCTTCGCGTCAAAGGAAGGCGGGAAAGGTTGGCGTCATTCACGAACGGACGAAGGCGGGAGCAGTTCGCGATTTTCGCGACACAAAGGGAGAAGCGGCGATTCTCATCAATAAGAGCGGGGGCGGGATCAGAAGGCGGGAGGTGGGAACCGTCTGATCATAAATTGCGCCAAATTTTTTTGTGTCGAAAAATCCACAAAGATAAAGTAGTGATTTATTATCTTAGTTTTAACAAATAGGCGACACAATAATATTTATGTGGAGAAAATCTTGAAAGGGAAAAAAAAAAGAGAACTAGCCTAATTAAAGTAAATTATTGTATGTTTGTAGCTATAGGGGCACGCCATTCTCTCGTGAAAAAGAGAATGGACTCACGATCTTACAACCAAAACTATACATATGTTTTTAGAAATAAAAAAAATTAAAGTGAGAAAATTCAACAAGAGTCGTCTTCTAGTTACAACGGTTGCAAGCAATGGTTGCTAATAATCGGTGGTTAGCGGTAGACAGGTGGTGATGTTAGGCGGTGGTT